ACAACCCACGAGTACGGGGATGATGTTGACAACGAACGAGTACGGGTTTGGTGTTGACATCTTACGAGTACTGGTTAGGTGCTGGCATCTCACGAGTACGTGTTTGGTGCTGACAACCCACGGAACGGTTTGGTGCTGACAACCCACGAGTACGGGTTTGGTGCTGAAAAACAACGAGTACGGGTAAGGTGCTGACAGCCCACGGAACGGTTTGGTGCTGACAACCCACGAGTACCGGTTTGGAGCTGACAATCCATTAATACTTGCATGTTTGCTGACAATCTACTAGTACGTGCATGTTTGCTGACAATCCACTAGTACGTGCATGTTTGCTGACAATCCACCAGTACGTGCATGTTTGCTGACAATCCACTAGTACGTGTATGGTGCTGAAAAACCTACGAGTACGTGTATGGAGGTGACAAGCCACCAGTACGTGTATGGAGGTGACAAGCCACCAGTACGTGTATGGAGGTGACAAGCCACCAGTACGGCTATGGGGGTGACAAGCCACCAGTGCGGCTATGGAGGCGACGGGTTTGGTGCTGACCACCGACGAGTACGGCTATGGAGGTGACAACCCACGAGTACGGGTTTGGTGCTAACATCTCACGAGTACGGGGATGATGTTGACAACCCACGAGTATCGGTATGGAGGTGACAACCCACGAGTACGGGTTTGGTGCTGACATCTCACGAGTACGGGTTTGGTGTTGACATTTCAAGAGTACGGGTTTGGTGCTGACAGCCCACGAGAACGGGTTTGGTGCTGACAACCCACGAGAACGGGTTTGGTGCTGACAACCCACGAGTACGGGTATGGAGTTGACAACCCATGAGTACGGGGATGATGTTGACAACCCACGAGTACGGGGATGATGTTGACAATGCACGAGTACGGGTTTGGTGTTGACAGCTTACGAGTACTGGTTTGGTGCTGACATCTCACGAGTACGTGTTTGGTGCTGACAACCCACGGAACGGTTTGGTGCTGACAACCCACGGAACGGTTTGGTGCTGACAACCCACGAGTACGGGTAAGGAGCTGACAAGCCATTAATACTTGTATGTTTGCTGACAATCTACTAGTACGTGCATGTTTGCTGACAATCCACTAGTACGTGCATGTTTGCTGACAATCCACCAGTACGTGCATGTTTGCTGACAATCCACTAGTACGTGTATGGTGCTGAGAATCCACTAGTACGTGTATGTTGCTGACAATCCACTAGTACGTGTATGGTCCTGACAATCCACTAGTACGAGTACATTGCTGAAAAACCTACGAGTACGTGTATGGAGGTGACAAGCCACCACGACGTGTATGGAGGTGACAAGCCACCAGTACGTGTATGGAGGTGACAAGCCACCAGTACGGCTATGGAGGTGACAACCCACGAGTACGGGTTTGGTGCTGACATCTCACGAGTACGGGTTTGGTGTTGACATTTCACGAGTACGGGTTTGGTGCTGACAGCCCACGAGAACAGGTTTGGTGCTGACAGCCCACGAGAACGGGTTTGGTGCTGACAACCCACGAGTACGGCTATGGAGGTGACAACCCACAAGTACGGGGATGATGTTGACAACCAACGAGTACTGGTTTGGTGCTGACATCTCACGAGTACGGGTTTGGTGTTGACATTTCACGAGTACGGGTTTGGTGCTGACAACCTACGGAACGGTTTGGTGCTGAAAACCCACGAGTACGGGTTTGGTGCTGACAACCCACGAGTACGGGTTTGGTGCTGACAACCAAAGAGTACGGGTTTGGTGCTGACAACCAAAGAGTACGGTAAGGTGCTGACAGCCCACGGAACGGTTTGGTGCTGACAACCAACGAGTACGGGTTTGGTGCTGACATCTCACGAGTACTGGTTTGGTGCTGACAACCAACGAGTACGGGTTTGGTGCTGACAACCCATGAGTACGGGTTTGGTGCTGACATCTCACGAGTACAGGTTTGGGGCTGACAACCCACGAGTACGGGTTTGGTGCTGACAACCAACGAGTACGGGTTTGGTGCTGACATCCCACGAGTACTGGTTTGGGGCTGACAACCCACGGAACGGTTTGGTGCTGACAACCAACGAGTACGGGTTTGGTGCTGACAACCCACGAGTACTGGTTTGGGGCTGACATCTCACGAGTACAGGTTTGGGGCTGACAACCCACGAGTACGGGTTTGGTGCTGACAACCAACGAGTACGGGTTTGGTGCTGACATCCCACGAGTACTGGTTTGGGGCTGACAACCCACGGAACGGTTTGGTGCTGACAACCAACGAGTACGGGTTTGGTGCTGACAACCCACGAGTACGGGTTTGGTGCTGACAGCCCACGGAACGGTTAGGTGCTGACATCCCACGAGTACGGGTTTGGTGGTGACAACCCACGAGTACGGGTTTGGTGCTGACAACCCACGAGTACGGGTTTGGTGCTGACAACCCACGAGTACGGGTTTGGTGCTGACAACCCACGAGTACGGGTTTGGTGCTGACAACCAACGAGTACGGGTTTGGTGATGACATCCCACGAGTACTGGTTTGGGGCTGACAACCCACGGAACGGTTTGGTGCTGACAACCAACGAGTACGGGTTTGGTGCTGACAACCCACGAGTACGGGTTTGGTGCTGACAGCCCACGGAACGGTTTGGTGCTGACAACCCACGGAACGGTTTGGTGCTGACAACCCACGAGTACGGGTTAGGTGCTGACATCCCACGAGTACGGGTTTGGTGGTGACAACCCACGAGTACGGGTTTGGTGCTGACAACCCACGAGTACGGGTTTGGTGCTGACAACCCACGAGTACGGGTTTGGTGCTGACAACCCACGAGTACGGGTTTGGTGCTGACAACCCACGAGTACGGGTTTGGTGCTGACAACCCACGAGTACAGGTTTGGTGCTGACAACCAACGAGTACGGGTTTGGTGCTGACATCCCACGAGTACTGGTTTGTGGCTGACAACCCACGGAACGGTTTGGTGCTGACAACCAACGAGTACGGGTTTGGTGGTGACAACCCACGAGTACGGGTTTGGTGCTGACAACCCACGAGTACAGGTTTGGTGCTGACAACCCACGAGTACGGGTTTGGTGCTGACAACCCACGAGTACGGGTTTGGTGCTGACAACCAACGAGTACGGGTTTGGTGATGACATCCCACGAGTACTGGTTTGGGGCTGACAACCCACGGAACGGTTTGGTGCTGACAACCAACGAGTACGGGTTTGGTGCTGACAACCCACGAGTACGGGTTTGGTGCTGACAGCCCACGGAACGGTTTGGTGCTGACAACCCACGGAACGGTTTGGTGCTGACAACCCACGAGTACGGGTTAGGTGCTGACAGCCCACGAGTACGGGTTTGGTGGTGACAACCCACGAGTACGGGTTTGGTGCTGACAACCCACGAGTACGGGTTTGGTGCTGACAACCCACGAGTACGGGTTTGGTGCTGACAACCCACGAGTACGGGTTTGGTGCTGACAACCCACGAGTACGGGTTTGGTGCTGACAACCCACGAGTACGGGTTTGGTGCTGACATCCAACGAGTACGGGTTTGGTGCTGACAACCCACGAGTACGGGTTTGGGGCTGACATCTCACGAGTACAGGTTTGGGGCTGACAACCCACGAGTACGGGTTTGGTGCTGACAACCAACGAGTACGGGTTTGGTGCTGACATCCCACGAGTACTGGTTTGGGGCTGACAACCCACGGAACGGTTTGGTGCTGACAACCAACGAGTACGGGTTTGGTGCTGACAACCCACGAGTACTGGTTTGGGGCTGACATCTCACGAGTACAGGTTTGGGGCTGACAACCCACGAGTACGGGTTTGGTGCTGACAACCAACGAGTACGGGTTTGGTGCTGACATCCCACGAGTACTGGTTTGTGGCTGACAACCCACGGAACGGTTTGGTGCTGACAACCAACGAGTACGGGTTTGGTGCTGACAACCCACGAGTACGGGTTTGGTGCTGACAGCCCACGGAACGGTTTGGTGCTGACAGCCCACGGAACGGTTTGGTGCTGACAACCCACGAGTACGGGTTAGGTGCTGACATCCCACGAGTACGGGTTTGGTGGTGACAACCCACGAGTACGGGTTTGGTGCTGACAACCCACGAGTACGGGTTTGGTGCTGACAACCCACGAGTACGGGTTTGGTGCTGACAACCCACGAGTACAGGTTTGGTGCTGACAACCAACGAGTACGGGTTTGGTGCTGACAGCCCACGGAACGGTTTGGTGCTGACAACCCACGAGTACGTTTAGGTGCTGACATCCCACGAGTACGGGCTTGGTGCTGACAACCCACGAGTACGGGTTTGGTGCTGACAACCCACGAGTACGGGTATGGTGCTGACAACCCACTACTTCGAGAAATAAGGAGGATGGTGTGATGACGTAGGTATGTGGGGGCAAGATAATGCCCATACAACTAGTGACTATAATTCGCACATATAAGTATCCTGAGAATTATCAATTGGCCTGATACACCAACGATGAAAACGTCCCTGTCTCATTTTGAGTAAGCAGATAAAATGTGTTCTTGTTAACTGTAATATAGTAAAATGTTGGTTATGATAATATATATCGGTATATTTGTATTTTTCCCTTTTCAGACATATCATGACCTCTCTGACGGGACTCTTCAAACTGTCAACTTACACAATTTTCAAAATGTTCGTGGGTAATACATACATTGCTATAATCGCTCCAGCCAGGCATACTGTTTCTAGAACAACTCGTGTATTTCAAAATGTTTTGAAATGAACTTATAATAAACTCGGTATCTAACGGGAACAAACTGAAAGACTGTCTCGTATACATTTAAATAGTTGAAACTGAATGTTCATCAAGTACCGTTGAACAACATGAATTATAGATAACTGTTGTCATTGGTCTGAACACATTCTATTCGTGAGCAGATTCATGACATATATCCCCGTTATAGGGAAGTTGAAAGTCAACTGTTAGCACGAAGTCTGAATCCGCGACCACAGCTCGTACAACTAAATGCCCTGAGGTCCTACCACTTAGCTCGATGCACTACCATTGAACATGTGCTTCCCTCAAAACGAGTAAGTAGATCAAGACTTAGTGTAAACTTGTTTTCTGTTACACGGTCTGTTTGTTGTGATGATAGATGGGTATATATTTTTTTTTTTTATTTTCAGACAGATCATGACATCTTTGGTGATCCTATGTTTTGCGTCCGTTGTACGTTTGATAGGAGGTAAGTTTGACAAATCTTCATTGTTTCATCCAGGCATCTGCTTCAAAAGATAAGAACAATGTGCTTAATAAGTAAGAACAAGGAGATGATTTCAAAGGTATATAACACGCATCAACACAATATCCTACTTTGACAAATCTTCTTTGCCATTGCAGTGATTTATTCCATTATTTACCAAGCTCGACCTGCTATTACTTCTGCTACGTCTTTCATTATTTGGAACAATGTGACCAATTGATCTAATGCGTCTAATTTGCTGTCATAGCTTTGAATACTTTTTGATGTTATTCTCATCTAAAAATGTATTCTATTTTGCATAGCAACACCCTGCAAAGATGGCCAGCACTGTGCAGTTTGTGATGAAACAGGTGACTGCTCATCAACGTGTCACCCTGGGTATTTCAACAAGCGATGTACATCTACGTGCAACAGTGGCTGCAGATATAAAGCGTGTGAACTGCTCAAAGGCAGTGGCATCGCGGCGTGCATCCACGGCTGTAATCCAGGACTCCAGGGTACAAGCTGCAGCATACCATGTGAACATCAGAGACAGTGTACAAAATGTAAAGGAGGATGTTACGGTGACTACTGCCAGATTGGGTCAGTCTGTGTTTCTGGATGCGTTGACTCCTACTATGGCCTTGACTGCAAGAACTGCTCTGAACAATGTAAATCGTGTAATAGAAGCACGGGAATGTGTAACCAGTGTCATTCGCCATACACTGGCCCCATCTGTGAGATGCGATGTGAGAATTGTAAAGGAACGTGCAAGGCTGGATGCGAAGGAGGCTGTAATCCTGGGTTTCATGGTCATTGGTGTGAAAAGGTGTGTAGTGAAAACTGCCGCGCCGGCCTTGACGCAACTTTTGTGCTAGAATGTGACCGAAATGTCTCCAACACGTGCATCCTGGACTGCGACAAGAAGACAGGACATTGCATCCACGGTTGTAATCCTGGATTTTATGGCCATTGGTGTGAAAAGGTGTGCAGTGAAAACTGCCTCCCTGACCCCGACGGAACTTCATCATCAGCCTGTGACAGAAATGTCTCCACCAATTGCACCCCAGAATGTGACAAAACGACAGGATACTGTATTCATGGCTGTAATACCGGATGGCATGGTACTAACTGCTCATCTCGATGTAACTCAAAGTGTGCAAATCTGTCCTGCAATGATTCAGGGGCATGTGTAGATGGTTGTGCACCAGGGTATGCTGGGACTGACTGTACATGCTATGAGAACTGCTTTGATCTTGTTTGTTACTCTGAGAATGGAACCTGTGCAAAAGGGTGCGACAAAGGTTACTATGGTGCATTTTGTAATCACTCCTGTGAGATATGCATTGATGGGATTTGTGACAAGGAGTTTGGAACATGCATCAAAGGATGCAACATTACTGATCATGGGTGCAAATCTACCTGTTCAAGTGACTGTCCGATAGACATCTGCCGAAATCAAAGTACATGTGGTAAGTATATACTGATCTGAACAAAAATAAATGTAGTTACTGTTATCATTTATTCTTGCTGAATATATATATATATTATTCTGTGACAATTTACGTGTATGTTTTGAAACAAATTGACGTTTGAGTTGATGTTAGCACTGCTTAAAACTGTATTGTAACATATTTTTACTGCAACTATAACAGATAACAATGTACAACACATGAGGCCTTTTGTAACACTACCTGTGAGATATGCATTGGTGCTAGTTCTGAACATTATATTTGCAGTTTCATATTCTTTCATACATGTAGTTCGCAAAACTAGAAACCAAATTTAGACAAATGATGAAATACAGGGTAAACTTGCCCAGAGTAACATTTCCCACATAGGAATCAATGATTTTGCATCACTTAAATGTAATAATACATCAATGAAATATCTGACTGCTGGCCACAAACATGTAATACATCCTCACAAAAACATAGCGTATAGAGAATAGTTATTGCCATTGAGTGGTGTGATTGTAATTCATATTATTGTAGCCACCATTAAATAAATCTTCATTATATTTAATTGATGAACTGCTGACAAATATCCTGATGCTCAAAAATGTTTTCAATTCTGTTTATATAAATGATTATTAGCCATTGTTCGTTTCAACACTGTTATGTATTGGATTTATAACATCAAGTGTAGAGATAAGGTTAAAGCAGGAAGCAAAAGTCTTTTCTAATATTTGAACATAACCCAATCTTATTCTTTTACGCCCCCAGCCCCATCATTATGCAATGTCTGTCGCTCATGTTACTGGTATGATCAATAAACTAAACCGCGTAATCTCTTGATGTGGGCAAGCAACGTTTTTAGGTTTAGATCATTAATTGTTAACTTGGTTCATATCCCTACACTCCATTACCTTTTTAGTTTTGTCATCATGTGTTATATATATTACCTACTTGTTTGTTACACATCAACTATATAATAAAACCTGACAACATCATTGTATTCCCCAGGGCAGAACGCCGAGAGCCTACTACTGATCATCATCGGAACATCAGCAGCGTGTTTGGTTTGCCTTGTTGGTATCATAGTAGCAATATACATTGGATACTATGAACGCACTAAAAGGTTCATATTTGAGTGTTTTATATAAATCATTTACAGGACAAAATAAGAATGCTTCCCATTATATTTGACATCCCCGAATCCAATCTTTCTGCTAACCTTCATAACGAAGGGCTGCATAATTATAAAAAAAACCAGCTGTATTTAGTACTGAAAGCTTTTATACCTTCAGTTAGTAGAATAATTATGCATATGTCCTGTGACTAATGTCGATAAACATATAAATGATTTTTATTGTAGGGAAGAAACTGATGATGAAGAAGTGGAATCTCCAGTAGAACAACAGGAAGCACGTGACTACGAGTTTATAGATGTTGATGCTGATAAAAAAAACGAAACTGGCCCTGTGATAGTTTTCCTTTAGTTGAGGATCACGTCACACCGTGTCTTTGAGAACGTGCAGCACTCAAGATATAGTTTATTAGCAAGCACCTAACGATCGGATGTATTGGCACAAAGCAATAGTCATAAAGATCGAGAGATATCGTGTATATGCTATGCTTTGCTATGCTATGCTATGCTATGCTATGCTATGCTATGCTATGCTATGCTATGCTTTCCTATGCTATGCTATGCTATGCTATGCTATGCTATGCTATGCTATGCTATGCTATGCTATGCTATGCTATGCTATGCTATGAGTACCACCACGCTACTCAGTTGGAATAATTTTAACATGTCAAGATAGAACATAACATATTTCAATCATAGTTAGTTATTATGCAGCTCTCCAAATATGTAATACGTCAAGTGTGGTCCCCATGGCTTTGAACCCCGTGCCGTTATACATTCGGCGTCATCAAAATGGCTGTATTAGCTGGTTCTATTTGTACACCCGTGACTCTTAAGATTCCAGTGGGCGCAATTGTTGTCAGAGCTACCCCAGTATTTATGCCTGTATTTAATTCTTGTAAAGAGCTAAACACAAATGCTCAGTTTACATACCTAAATAAATACTTGCATATTTGAAGAATGCTTCTAGAAACGTTATAAACAGTTATGCAGAAATGTGTATTGGTTTGTAAACCTAGTTTCTTTTCATAATACAATTGTTAATTGTAAATCATGTCTTTGTTATTTGTTGGTTTCACATTTTGTGTGTGTATAGATTTCTGGATTAAGTTACTGTCAACAAACCTGAACGTGAAAAAGTTAAATATATATTGGGTTCCCATGGCGTAGATGAGAGAACAGGGTCAGGCTTCATGGTAAGCGAAACCGCGGGAACTCTTGGTAATGGAAATAACGCCTTCGCCGGAGATATCTTTACATGAAAAACAGTATATGGCACAATGTCACTATGTATAAGGAAGCTTGGTTGGTTTGTTGTTTTACGCCGCACTCAGCAATATTCCAGCTATAAGACGGCGGTCCGTAAATAATCGAGACTGGACCAGACACTCCAGTGATTGATATCATGAGCTTCGATCCACGCAATTTGGATCAATGACATACTTCAACCAAGTCAGCGAGTCTGACCACCCGATCCCGTTTGTCGCTTCTTACGACAAGCATCGTCGCCTATTACGGCAAGCATGGGTTGCTGAAGACCTATTCTACCCCGGATCTTCACGATACAAGAGGGAGGATAAGAGCGCACCCAGTTGTTCATATGCTTTGAATTACATCTGTTTTAATTAGATCCAATGAAGAACATGCTGTAACTTAAATATTCAGTCTCTTTAAAATCTGGTCATACAACCAGTTAACATTAGTTACTGGTGAGCGTTTATAACTTGTGAAACATATAACTAGATTTATCATCCCAAACTGGATCCCACAGGACATATCGCTTGGGTGAGATCCAGCGATATCTACACTGTAGATATCGCTGCAATGAAATTGCATTACAATGCTTTGCAGACCATTTCTCGCTATCACAATTAATTGGCAAATTAGTTACACTGTCTTCCGTTATATATATGCACACGTTATTGGTCTGCATAGAACACTTATCCAATGAAGATGAAGATGAACAAATTTTCAAACTAGTATACCTGTTGGCACCTTTCAGTAGTGTAAAATATACTGGCAAGGTGTTATGCTACCTTTCAGTCTTAGCTCCTTGGTGTGATCATCCATCGGTGATAATTGCATTAAAGTCATTTTAAAGTCCTTATTGATACCATCTGGGGGTAAGACATTTAGGCAAGAAGTAGGCATCCCCTGGGGCATCAATTGTGCCCCCCTTCTTGCGGATCTGTTTCTTTATCCATATGAATCGGAATTTCAACGTTCAAGCCCTCAGTAAAGCTTTAAAAAAGTGACAAAATTATGTCCGATAATATAATTTTGAATTGTTCCCGTGTTTTTATAGGTGAACAATTGGCATTAATTTGCATGAGTTTGCATGAGTTTGTGGGTGATACCGCTGGGGCAGGACACGCTCACCTTTTACATCTGGTAATCAGGTATCATAACTATTTGATAGTGATTCATAAACTCAAATCTACTCTGCTTTATGAAGAGATATCTATGGGATATGGAAAGGGTTTTGTCTCTGTATTTATGGACTAGGCAATGAATTCAGGAACTCGAATATGGAACTGACTGTACAGATACAGTGCTAAAAATCTCACAAGTACGGGCATGTTGATGACAAATACCGAGGGTTGGTATGCCTCTGGTCCACAAAACACAGTGATCTAAGCGCTAAGACCATCTTGAGTTCAGTATGGGAGTAGCGATCATCGTAGCGCTAAGGTGGTTTTGTGCAAGTGGACACTGACCACCCACTGGCATTGATATGGCGCTGACAACCCACGAGTACGGGTATGGTGCTGACAACCCACTCATAGTGGTATTACGAAACCAACTCACGAGTACTTGTATGGCACTTGCAACGGACTAATACTGGTATTGCGATGACAACCCTCGACTGGTATGTTACTGACAACCCACTAACACTGGTATTACGAAACCAACCCCCGAGTACTTGTATAGTACTGACAACAAAATAATAATTCAGTATTTCGATGGCAACTCACGAGTACTGGCATCGCACTGACAACCCACTTATACTGGTATTACGATGCCAACCAACGTGTACTTGTATAGTACTGACAACCCACTAATACTGGCACTGCGATGGCAACCAACGAGTACTGTTATGGTACTGACAACCCAATAATACAGGTATTGCGATGGCAACCCTCCAGTAATGGCATGGTACTGACTACCCACTAATACTGGCATTGCGATGGCAAACCACGAGGACTGGAATGGTACTGGCAACCCAATAATACTGGTATTGCGATGGCAACCCACGAGTACTGGAAGGGTACAGATAACCCACTATAACAGGTATTGCGATGGCAACCCACGATTAGTGGTATGGTACTGACAACCCAATAATATATGTATTGCGATGGCAACCCACGAGTACTAGTATGTACTGACAACCCACTTATACTGGTATTACGATGCCAACGAACGAGTACTTGTATAGTACTGACAACCCACTAATACTGGCACTGCGATGGCAACCAACGAGTACTGGTATGGTACTGACAACCTAATAATACAGATATTGCGATGGTAACCAACGAGTACTAGTATGTACTGACAACCCACTTATACTGGTATTTCGATTGCAACCTACGAGTATTGGAATGGTACTGACAATCCACTAATACTGGTATTGCGATGGCAACCAACGAGTACTGGCATGGTACTGACTACCCACTAATACTGGTATTGCGATGGCAACCAGCGAGTACAGATAGGGTACTGACAACCCACTAATACAAGTATTGCGATGGCAACCAACGAGTACTCGTATGGTACTGACAACCCACTTATACTGGTATTGCGATGGCAACCTACGAGTACTGGTATGGGACTTACAACCCACCAATATTGTTATTGCGATGGCAACCCACGAGTAATGTCATGGTACTGACAACCCACTATTACAGGTATTGCGATGGCAACCAACGAGTACTGGTATGGTACTGACAATCCACTAATACTGGTATTGCGATGGCAACACACGAGTAAAGATATGGTACTGACAACCGACTAAAACTGGCATTGCGATGGCTACCCACGAGTACTGGCATGGTACTGACAACCCACTAATACTGGTATTGCAATGGTAACCCACGAGAAGTGGTAAGGTACTGACAACCCACTAATACTGGTATTGCGATGCCAACGCACGAGTACTGGCATGGTCCTGAAAACCCACTAATACTGGTAATGCGATGCCAACCCAGTACAGATATGGTGCTGACAACCCAATAATAAAGGTATTGCGATGGCAACCCTCCAGTAATGGCATGGTACTGACTACCCACTAATACTGGCATTGCGATGGCAAACCACGAGTACTGGAATGGTACTGGCAACCCAATAATACTGGTATTGCGATGGCAACCAACGAGTACTGGAAGGGTACAGATAACCCACTATAACAGGTATTGCGATGGCAACCCACGATTAGTGGTATGGTACTGACAACCCAATAATACAGGTATTGCGATGGCAACCCACGAGTACTAGTATGTACTGACAACCCACTTATACTGGTATTACGATGCCAACGAACGAGTACTTGTATAGTACTGACAACCCACTAATACTGGCACTGCGATGGCAACCAACGAGTACTGGTATGGTACTGACAACCTAATAATACAGATATTACGATGCCAACCAACGAGCACTTGTATAGAACTGACAACCCACTAATACTTGCACTGCGATGGCAACCAACGACTACTGGTATGGTACTGACAACCTAATAATACAGATATTGCGATGGTAACCAACGAGTACTAGTATGTACTGACAACCCACTTATACTGGTATTTCGATTGCAACCTACGAGTATTGGAATGGTACTGACAATCCACTTATACTGGTATTACGATGCCAACCAACGAGTACTTGTATAGTACTGACAACCCACTAATACTGGCACTGCGATGGCAACCAACGAGTACTGGTATGGTACTGACAACCTAATAATACAGATATTACGATGCCAACCAACGAGCACTTGTATAGTACTGACAACCCACTAATAATGGCACCGCGATGGCAACCAACGACTACTGGTATGGTACTGACAACCTAATAATACAGATATTGCGATGGTAACCACCGAGTACTAGTATGTACTGACAACCCACTTATACTGGTATTTCGATTGCAACCTACGAGTATTGGAATGGTACTGACAATCCACTAATACTGGTATTGCGATGGCAACCAACGAGTACTGGCATGGTACTGACTACCCACTAATACTGGTATTGCGATGGCAACCAACGAGTACAGATAGGGTACTGACAACCCACTAATACAAGTATTGCGATGGCAACCAACGAGTACTCGTATGGT